CCTGTCATCCTTAGGTTTGGTCTTTTCATTGTGTCCTGGATTTCCTGAATGTTTTAGGTTAGGAGTTTTTTGCATTTTGCATTTTCTTTGACTGTTGTGTCAATGTTTTCTGTGGTATCTTCTGTACCTGAGAGTCTCTGTATCTCTTCTATTCTGTTGGTGACACTTGCATCTATGACTCCTGATGTCTTTCCTAGAAGAAAGGAATATGAGATTGTGTCCAAAGAGTTTTCTATAGCTCATATTGACCAATGAGGGAAACTCCAGAAATACTATAGCAGTTTGGGGATGCAAAGGAATGGATCAAATCCTGCAAACATAAGGGGACATCTGATTTGTGTTATTTGTAACCTGTAGATGAGATCTCAAGGTAACAACTACAACCTCTCATTGATGGTCTAGTTAGAGCTCAGCACTTAGTATAGCTTTAATGGCTAATGCGTATTAAGTGTGTGCTTAGTAAGTCGTAGTCTGCCTGCGTGTATGTGCATACTTGGCACCCATGGGGGCCAGAAGAGGAGTAATTGAGGTTGTGAGCTCTTGTGTGGATGCTCGGAGCCATACTCAGGTCCTCTGTAAGAGCAGCCTGTGTTTATAGTCTCTGAGCTGCCTCTTTAGCCTCCAGAGTCTTGCAAGTTTTAATTATTCTTTCCCAGAATGAGTTTTCCCTAGCATTGTAGAATTTTTAAATGCATGAAAAAAGTTGAAATAAATGTCAACCCACATTAGATTCTGTAATCATTAGCATTTTACTATTTTTATTTTATTATATATTTTATTTTATATCTAGTCTTTCATTTGGGTAAATTTGTCTTGGTTTTCATTGAGAGTTGGAGGCAGAAGTACTACATTAACTCATGACCATATAAATATATCATGATCCTGATAGAGTTATTAAAAAAAATTAAAACTAGATTCTTCAGTTCTCTGTTTTAGAAGTAGTATGTGTGCTCAATCACTGGGCTGTTTGTTTTTGAGATAGGGTCTTATGTCACTCAAGTTGGCCTCAAACTTGCTAGATAGCCAGTTCAGGGCTTGAACTTCTGATCTCCCTGTCTCTCCCACGTGCTAGGTTTGTTGGTTTATACCACGAGGCCTTGCTACTTTCAATTCCTAGACCACAGCTAGTCAGCACTGCAAAGTGAAATCTTAGGTGTTTTTATTTGAATGGAGCCTGAGGTCACTGTAGTAAATATGGCTCATCATCTAATAAGTTCAGTTTACTTAGCAAATTGTTTGAGCCCTTATGCTAAGGATGTTGGAGCTTCATTTTTACTGAACACTTTCCCTTTTCTCTTCTTTCTGGGTGTGACTAACTTGCCTACAGCATGCTGCATGGTTGCTGGTAAAACAGGAAATTGGGTAAGTAATTTAAGTAGGGAGTTTTTACCGTCATTTAAATACTAGCTACCTAGTTCTTAGAGTACCTTTACTATGCTACGGCTACCTCTTCTTTTATAGTAGACTCAGTAGCTACAGAGATGTTGGCACAGGTGCTTTCCTTATGTACCATGTCCAGTTGTGACTCATTTAATGTGACTGTAGATACAGACTTACAAGCATTAGGAATTTTTTCAATGTAGTTTGGGTGGCTATCTTAAGGTAATAAACTTTAGATTTGTACTTGAAGCTAAATTATAAATAAAACTAGATGATAAATCATGAAAAGTAAAATTCTGCTTAAATCAGAGCAACTGTGAGTTTACAGATAACACCTACTGGTAATTTCTTAGAAGACAAATAGGCTTTGGAATTTAGATCTTTGGATTTAAGGAATGTAATAGGGTGTTAAATACCATATGTAGTGTATACCTTTCTCGGGATGATACTATGTAGTTAAATGAACCATTTCTGTAGTGAAGAAAGCCACACACATCAAGTTATATAAACAAAATCTTACATGTTCAAATCAGGATCTGGTTGCCAGCTGCATTTTTAAAAAACCTGTTAATTCTTCAGTTTTGTTTTGTTTAACATTCTGTGACTTAAAGAGGGGCTGTGTGATTATTGGATGTTCCTATGTACTTCTGTGAGAAAAACCCAGAAGAAAACAGAGCTTTCTATATTAGAAGCTTATCTGTTGTTCTGAGGTTTATAGAAAAAGAATAATTAACCTGGTTCTTTTTTGTTTGTTATGTATTTTATGTCTGAATCTTCCCTTTCCAAAGGAGAAATAACCACATATTTATCAAAGATTGCAGGCTTGATGAAGTTTTAAGTTTCTAAGTGTCAAAGCCTTAAAATTTAGGTATAACAATTTTTTAAAACTATATTGAGAACAATGTTTTAACAGGATTAGCTTTTGCTGTAGCTCTTTAGATTCTTGGGTTTATAAACAATTTTAAAATAGTTTATTTTTCTGTTTCTACTTTTTATCCTTTAAAATATATTTTCTTAGGGCTGGAGAGATGGCTCCACAGTTGAAAACACTTGGCTACTCTTCCAGAGGATCCAAGTTTGATTCCTAGTACCCACACAATCTCTCCCAGATCAATTCATTGTAATTACTACCTAGCTGACTGACTGTTTCTGGCCTGCAGTTAATAGTTTCTACTGGTCTTGACAATTGTAAGGGGTATTATTTGTAGGTAATAACTCTAACAGTGAAGATTAGACAGTAAGGTGGATGACTCAGAGCCAATTGTGCTAGAACACACCTTTAGTCCCAGCATTCAAGATGCAGAGCCAGGCAGAGCTCTTGAGTTTGAGGTCAGCCTGGTCTACATGAGTTCCAGGACAGCCAGGGCTACATAGAGAAATCCTGTCTCCAAACAACAATAACAACAGTAACAACAACAAAAGAGATTACTCATAATTAGACTCTGCCCTATCTGTTGTCACAAGAAGTCCTGTGACCGGTCATCATGGTGTTTGGTATTTTAATTACTTGAATGATATAGGCTTGTTAGTTCAATATTAATAACTTGGGGTAGCAGATCTGTTTTAGGAATGCTGTACTCTGTATTTACTACCTCAATTCCTTTTTATTAACGATTGTAGGTTGCATACTAAAGCTAGCTCTCATAATGGGCATTTATCAAACCAATGTATTGGTTCATGAATAGATTTTAGGGGAATGTGAGATGTTTATTTAACTCTTATTATACTGATGAACATTTTATAATGTTGATACTTCAGGATTTAAAGTTTCTTCCTAAGCAGTGAGGGATTGGGGAGAAATCCTGCAACTTTTACTTTGATTCCCATAAATAAACCCCATTTTCTGTAAGAGAGGAGATGCAAACGTTTATAACACGGATATAACATTATATTAGATAGTTTTGTAATTCCAAGCAGTAAACATTCACCTTATTTGATTTTTCCTGAATCTATAAATCTTGGAATCTAGAGATTCCAAATTAGGAAAATAAATTAGTGTGCTTTTTTTCATTGAATCTTCAAAAATAGGCTCACATGCCACTAAAAATGCCAGTTCTTTGCTGTCTCTAAAATACAGGCCTCTGAAGTGAGAATTTTTTGTTGGGTTTACTTAATGTTCTATCTACTGTATAAAACAGTGTCTGACACATAGTAGGCACTCTTTATTTTAGAACAATTGCATATATTCTTCTCTTTAACATGAACAATGAAGTTTTTCATGTCAGTGAATTAATTCTTATGTTATTCAGAAAGCAGAATCTGTCCCTGGGAAGAAATGATGTAGTTCAGCTGAAAGAAGCCTACAAGTGGATAGCTCACCCCCTGTTTTCAGAGGAGCTGGGAGTTCCCACTGATGGAAAGGTATCAGACAATGGCCAGTGGCACTAGTGACCTCATTAATGCTGGATACCTGGTTAGCCAGAAGCTTATATAACTCAGTGAAGGTCTCTGAAGGTTTTTAATGTTCATTTAGAACATTCTAAATTGATTTTAAGGCCTCTTATTTGTTTTGTTTTGTTTTCTCTTTGTGATCCAGGACACTTAGGAAGATAACAAATACTGGGAACATATTGACCTTAAAAGTCTGGAACTGAATCTTTACCTGACATGTATTTGTAGCTTAGCTGGAAGGACAGATTTACTGATACAAAGCAATTTATTAAAAACTGAGCAAGAAGCTAGTAAGATGGCTCAGTGGGTAAAGGTGCTTGCCATGAACCTTCATGACCTGAGTTCAGTCCTTGACACCCACATGGTGACAGAAGAGAATTATTTACTACAGGTTATCCTCTGACCTACACACACACACACACACACACACACACACACACACACACACAGGAAAAAAAGTCTAAGCAAGTATTGAATTAACTCCACACTATTTAATTTTGATTTAATTGTGCCTAACTTGATTTCAAATACATTCACATTAGATTTTCAACTACAGTGAAACGGGTTCATCCCATAATACCTGAGTTATTTCAAGTCTCTCTGTTTCTAGGCCTTTGAATCTGGGACACTTGGCCTCTGTTCAAATTTTAGAGCTAGTCTGGCCTCAGTCCTGGGAGAGCTTACGAGGTTTACCCTGTGTAGAAACAGGGCAGCTGCCCAGCTCATGAGACATCAGGCTTCCCTAGTCCAGGCTCATGCTCATCTGCATGAAGGGGACTCCCCGAAGATTAGCCCTATCCCTACTCAAGTAAAGTCACACCGCCATCTTCTAAAGCGAACCAGGGTTCTAAAAACCATTCTAAATGATGTGCTCTATATCATTGTAAAAATAATCCCTTCAATTTTTTTTTTTTTTTTTTTTTTGCTTTTTGAGACAGGGTCTTATAACTCAGGCGGGCCTCAAACTTGTGTAGCTGAGAACTCCTGATCCTTTTGCCCAGCAAGATAGATGAGCTATAGATGAGCTCTTTAAACTGAATACTGAAAGATTAGAGTAAAAGACCTCACAGATGGTCTGAGAGGGGAACAAAGTAACGAAAGTACTTTGTAAATTAGAGAAGTCACTAATAAACTATTCTTACCTCAAATTTCAATTTTGAAGCAGATAATTTTAAAATTTACATACTGACTCAAAGAACAGAAAGTGGGAGACAAAAGACCTAATAATGTGTGAGTAGTTCCCATCTGGTTTTCTTTAATAGAAACTGCTTGGTTTATCTTATAATGTAGTTAGGATACAGAACAAAACAGAAGCCGTTTGTTATTGGTAAAGAGCTGGTGAGCTCAGTGTCATGAGAACTCAATAAAAAGACAGTTGCTTGTGGCATTTGTAGCTTTTGCTTTGGTATCAAATCTTCAATAGTCTCTGCAGAGGTAAGATGGATATAGCATGAAATTACTCACATATAAAAATTCTTGCTGCAGCATGTTTTTAAAAGAACATGAATATTTTCTATAACTTAATGTCTCACAGTCCTTATAACTGAAAGTTATCCATGAAGTAAGGTTAATAAGACAGCTTTCTAAACATCTAATAGGAGTGGCTAGTGAGAAACATACCAAACAGCTCACCCTGCTGGGGTGGGGTTGGAAAAACATCTTGTATTTGATTATTTTATAATGGGGAAGTATCACTTTTGAAAAAAAAACAAAAATTAAAAACACTTTTTTAAAAGTCAAATTTGAATACTTTAAGAATAAGCTTGAAGGTTGGGAAGATGGCTTAGTTGGTGTTTCCACACAAACGTTTGGACTGGCATGAGGATTGCCAGTGCTGCATAGAAGCCGAGCAGAGGCTGATCCCAGAGTGTGCTGGCCAGACAGCCTGGTCTAACTGGTGAAGGACAGTTCTACTTCGGGAACCCCATCTCAGAAGATAAGGTTAGCCTGCAGCCTCCACAGACACATGTACATGCACATGCACACAGACACGCTTATGGACACACACACACACACACACACACACACAGGTTTCATCCATATTTCTTAAAGATTTGAACAAAATGTTTTTGTCCTGCTAGTAACTAGTCAGTAGGGACCTGGAAGGTCTCTTTGATTTTTAGTTATCTCCTTCCAGCTCCTGAATTTTTAGCCATCTTCACTCTAATGTATGCATTTGTCCAACACTGACACAAGTTGCTTTGACTTAAAAATTTATTTGGGGGAGGGGTACTTGGGGAGGTTTAGATGAAGGGAAGACAGAAATGTTGGAATTATATTACAATCTCAAAAGACAAATAAACCAACAATCTTATTTTTCACATTTTTGGTAGTGTCCTTGGTTACTGAGTTTAGAAGAAGTGCCTCCCTTCTAAAGCAAACAAGCAGGTTTGAGAGTTGTAGTATTCTAGGTTCCTTGTAGCTTTTCTGAGCCTACCTTTGGGAGTTGACTTTTATTTCCATTCATAAGTTGGTAGCTGTTAGTTTCCTTTTGTTCATTTAAAAACCGTCTTTGTCATTTGTAGAGCTTGTTCGAAGTGAGTGTGGTCTTTGCTCATCCAGAAACAGTTGAAGATTGCCATTTCCTGTAAGTTGCCCCATCAATTATGTAAAATTGTTAGTGTTTTCCTTTTTCATGAAGATAGTATTGTTTTTCTATCTTGTGAATATTTTAGAACTTGTCATGTCTTAGATTTAAAATGTGCCTCTTTGTAGAGGTTCCTCGGAGAAACGGATACAACTCACAAATATATACTATGTAATATATAAAAATATATAAATATAGGTATATAAGATATATTTAAAATTATGTCCACCTAATATAATTTCATTAAATGTTCTTCTTTTTTCTTCTTTCTCCTCTTCTTCCTCCTCCTTCTTTCTTCTTCTCTATCCCCTTCTTCCTCCTTCCTTCCTTTTTTTAAATTTCTTTTCCTCCTTCTCTTCTTCCTTCTCTTTCTTCTTCTTCCCCCGCCTTTTTTTTCTTCTTCTTTTTGAGACAGGGTCTCATTATGTATCTCTGGCTGTCCTGGAACTCACTATGTAGACTAGGGTGGCCTCAAAGTCACATAGACACATTTGCCTCTGCCTCACAAGTGCTGGGATTAAAGGCATACGTCACCACCACCTGGCTAAATTTTTATCTTAACTTGAATTTTATTTCAGAGGTGAAGTTTGCCCAGATTGTTTCAAACCAGCCAAAAACAAACAGGTAAGTATTTTTACTTGTTATATTACCAATAAAGTGAGTATGTATTGGGTATGTGGCAAGAACTGGTCTTTAAATATTTCCATTTGTTCAATATATTTTTACCTTATGTATTTATTTATTTTCTTCTGGATTTTTTGAGACAGCCCTATGTAGTGTCACCTGGAACTCAGTGTATAAACCTGTTTGGCCTGGAACTTGCAGCTATCTAAGGGCCTCTGTGCAGGACTCCAATAATGCCACACATTACCCAGCCTCAGCTCTTCTCTGAACCATACAGCAGGGCTCCATAACCCCCCAAATCTTGCATCTTCTTTACCTAAAAAAAACAGTGCTCTGTGGTGTGCTGCCAAGTTCTGTCGCGAGCTCAGGATGTAGTCTGGCTCCTTTGGCCTACAGTTGTATCATCTTCTGTGTGCTGACCCCAGGGAAACAATTCCATTGTCATTTACCTTCAAGGAGCCAAGAACCCCTTTGAATTTAGGCTTACTTCCTTCAAATGAATTTGACTCTTCACAAGATGGAACCTTCTCTGGGTGCAGTTTGCCCTCAAGACACCTTTCCTGTTATCCTAGTGCTGGGTAGGAGGTTTCCTTCATCACTTTAATAGTTGTCCCACAAGTGGCCCCTAGTCGTCCTCATAGAAGCTTTGTTCCACCCGACACCTCATGAACCAGGCCTGTGCTTTCCACACTCTCCTCAGCATGCTTATCTTTCCTGCTTCTCGAGAATGGCCAAGAGTCAGGCACTGCTTAGATCATCCAAGAGTCAATCTCACTCAAGGTTCCCAGCTCTTCCACATTTCTCCCACAAGTCAGTTCCAAAGGCTGAAGAACCACATGGCCAGGCTCACCACAGCAGGGCTGGGTTCAGTGTTGATTCTACCTTTGTTACTTTTCCCATTACTATGTAAAATACTCTGACAGAATATTTTGGAGAGAAAGATTTTGGCTCACAGTACTGTACAAAAAGGAGACAGTGAGCTGAACACAAGTATCCATTGCGTCTTTCTTCCTGATGCTTTGATCTGCCCTAGCTGCTTTAGTTAAGGATATAGACTGAAGGAGAGGCCTGGAGAGGGACGACAGGTACAGACTAACATGAAGAACACTTCAGTTTGACTTGCTTTCTTGGGACTCTTAAATATTTCTTGATTGTAAATATGTAGGATGGTAGAATTCCTCTAATCAGTTGTATTTCAGCTCTTGTTGAGTTGACAAAGATATTTTTTTCATTTCACCCTATATAGTCAGTATTCACCAGAATGGCAGTTTTGAAAGCTTTGAATAAGATAAAAGAAGATGACTTCCTCACGTAAGTATAAAAATTAGGAGCACTGCACATGTTTAGAAACATTGGGAATATCAGCGGTACTAGCCTGGCTGTCGCTCAGGCTATGTGCATCTCAGTCCTCCTCAGTCTGTCCCTCTTTCAGCACCGACATGTGCAGCATTTAGTAAAATGGCATCAATTAACACGTGAGTCATCTGACTTCCCTGTCTTAAAGAAGAAGGGCTACAGTGTGGCTCTGTGGTACTTACTTACCGAGCAGAGTTGAGCCTGGATCCAATCCCTGGGACCAAAACCCAAACTTTTGATCTTGAGAGGAGGACATTGATTTTCAAAACGGGAGTCACGTTACCTAAGTTTTCAACTGAGTAATTTACTGGCCCATAGGCCTAATGCTATTCCTGTTCCATCCCCAAATCTGATACTTTCTAGTGTGGCCATCTCTAAAAGAGAGAAGAGTAGGCTTGGGAGTGTCCTCACTGGGACAGAAAGCACTGGCGGGAGCGTCAGGGAGCCTGGCTTCAGCTCCGTTCTGTATGCCACACTTGCAGTCTCAGGCTTCAGCTCTCTCTGTACTCCGTACTTGGAATCTTTAGCGACCTCAGCTTCTTCTTTTGACATCAATGCCCTTCTCAAAAATACCAATTGTTAACATGAAGAAATGCAATAAACTATATTTTAATTATCAGTGCTTAAAAAAACGAACTACTGTAGCTTTCCTTCTAGAAGATTCTTGAATAAATATCAAGCAAAAATTATGATGGGACTTCTATTGTTTATGAACTAAGAAATGAGTCTTAAAATGGAAATATTCTCATTAAATTTTAAAAAGTAAAGGGTACTCTATCTAGAGGCTAGAGAGATAGACTGGATCCATTTCCACTACTCACATGACAGCTCACAACTATAACACAGTCCAGGGAATCTGATGTTGTCTTCTGGCCTCCGAGGACACTGGGCAGGCACATGATGCACAGGCATGCATGCAAGCAGAACACTTGTACACAGAAAATTAAAAAGGAGACTTTATATAAATACCAATTCCTGGGTTTCTAAATGATTTTATTGTTAAGGTACTTTGGGAAATCATAGAAAAATTCCAAGCCCTCTGTTTGAGGCTAAATCAGAATTTAATTATTTACAGGTAGCCTCCAGTTGGTGCTTTGGGAATTCCTAAATGATGGGCAGAGGATAAATTATTACTTCCTCTTCTCAGATTGAAGTCCACTGGCTAAGAGAATAGCACCCCAGCTTGTCACTTTTTCGAGACTCTGTGGTGTAACTGCCAGAGTCACAGTTGAAATGAGAAGGAAGGAGGAGGGAAAGTGGAGGAGGACTCCCCACAGGCAGGGCAGAACCCCCACAAGTGGGAGCACTTACTCACCACAGGCGAGCTTTACCCAAGCAGTGAAGCTTATTTAAGCCAGTAGCAAGTGACCAGATAGAAAAAAGTGGTTGGAGAGCCTGGAGGGGCTTCTACATTGTATATGTGGGTTTTTCCCAGAAATCTGCAGGCTGTTAGAAATTACCACTGGGGAAGATAAGATCCCCCGACTGTGTAGGGCAACATAAAAGCCCCAGTTTGCTTGATGCCACTGCCGTGTGTTAGAAGTGGTACTCTAAGGGCTAGAGTGTTGTCTCAGTGGTTAAGAGTACTTGTTGTTGCAAAATACGTGGGTTTGATTCTCAGTACCCACATGGGAGTTTACTGCCTCCTCAGGCAGCAGGCATACACGGGGTGCACAGATGTACACTCAGGCAAAAGAGTTATACACATAAAATAGTAAAAATAAATCTTAAAAAGAAGTGGTACTCAATAGCTGATATGGTCACTTATACCTGTAATCTAGTCCTCAGGAGGCTAGGTCAAATGAATTATGGCCAGACTATGCAACATAGAGAGTCCCAGACCAACCTAGTGGGGCCCTATCTCAGTATCAACAGACAAGGGGACCGGAAGATGGCTCAGCGATTAAGCATACTGGCTGTTCTTTCAGAGGACCTGGGTTCAATTTTCAGGATCCAGCAACCATTTCTGGCCTCCACAGGCATTCCAACACGTAGTACACAGACACACATGTGGGCAAAATATCCATGTACATAAAATAAAAATAAATAAATCTTTAAAACAAGACAGTAAAATTTGAAAAGTAGTAAAGGCCCAAAGCACTCTTTTTGCTCCAAAACTCTAAGATAGGGAGAGGTACCATCCCTGAGTTCTGAGTGTCTCAGACCAAGCTGACACAGCTTGGCTTTGTGACATGTGTCTCAAATATTAGTGTCCATAAAATTTATTTTGTTTTTCAGGCAATTTCCTTGTCCTCCAAACTCACCGAAGACTGTATGCACTGTCCTTGAAGTTGAATGCACTCATGGTGCTGTTTTTGTTGCTGGTAAATATTTCATCTGGAATATACACACCCTGTGAGCCCCCTTCCTGAATATGGCTGCTGACTGTTCTTCCACTGTGGTCTTACTGATATAGAGAGGCCTGAAACTGAGCAAGAGAAAACAAGGAAGGCAGAGGGCATTTAGTAACGTGAAAAACAAACTTAACAAGACTAATTTTATTATCCTCTCTGTGTCTAAACACTTGGCTTTATCCAGAGAAAAAGAAAATGTACTGACTTTCCTAATTAGTATATAGCAAACAGGTTTTTGCTTTGTTTCAAATGTTATAGTTGCTTTATAATAAAAGCTTAAATGAAATTGCTTTTTACTTTTGCCTCTGGTTACTGCTTTTTTTTTTTTTTTGTAGCTTTATTCGTAAGGCTGTGAGTCACAATTTGTTAGGGGGTTGGGGAGTTTTTGTTTTTTTTAACTTAGAAGTTTTTAAATTTTTCACAAAATTCTCTATAATGATATTTAAATGATTGCCAGTTATCTGGAAAGGCGAGTCTTTTTATGATCATTGTTGTGTTTCACAGTATCATTTAACTTTTTCAGTCAGTGAGTCACATTATTAAATTATTTCAGTCATCTGATACACTGTCTCTGTTTCTAAGCTAGCTATTCTATTTTACTTTAAATCTTACTGAATTATCTCCATGTTTGCGTGATGGCTTTCCAAGTAGACTGTTTCTTAGTTAAGGGCTGGGCCTCCTTTTATATCCTAGCATCCAGAATAATCAACTTACTAAATAGCTGTTACTTCCCATTTTATTCTCATACATTAATCACAGCTCTCCATCCAACTACCTGATATTTCTTTGGCAGGTAGATACAATAAATACTCCAGGAATCTACCACAAACTCCTTGGATAATTGATGGAGAAAGGAAAATGGAGTCTTCGGTGGAAGAATTAATTTCAGATCATCTGCTGGCGGTATTCAAAGCAGAGAGTAAGTGTGAAGATGCTCATGTTTTAAATACATTGTTACTCAGGAAGATGCCTTGAAGGCTCCAGGAAAAATGTCTCTGTTTAGTTAGTCATGCCCAACCTGGGCTCCTTGGCTCCAGGCTTCCCTAGAACAGCCACTGTTAGTGTTAAAAGGGCTTTCCAGCCCACGCTAGATTTTAGTCCAGATAGCCAAGGATAACTGTCCTTTCTCAGTGACTACTCTTTCCTGAGAAACTCAAAACAACCAAGACTGCTTTAGACAAGTGCAGTAATCCCTAATCTTGGCAAACTTCTTTGGGAGAACGTGAAGAAGTTCCACCTCTAATGTCAGTGCTTGTTCAGGAGTACTTAGTGCCTTAACCTACAGAGTAACTTGGGAGGAAGTTCAGGGGTGGAGAACATAGATCAAGAGCAACCATTTTTCAGAGGTTTGATGGAGTGCATTGTGTTTTAATTTCCTAGGTATTGATGAGCTGGGTTTGTGGGATGAGTCAGATCTGGGAAAGCTTGTGCTTCCCTTGTCTCAACAGGCCTGTAAGTCACAGGCAGCTCAGGTCTTGTGATTTTATGCAGTAGGAATAGATAAGAAGGAAAGGTCGAAGACTTAGTTATAAAGAAAAATTCCAGGCAGTGGGCCATGTCAGGCTTTGGAATGGGACCTCTCATGGATCAGATCAGCTAGGCACTGCCTTTCTCTCTGTGGAACATGCTTTAAAGTCAGGCAGAGGTCTAGTGGAGCAGTGGCCATCCCGTCTATCCCTCTGACTTTTGTTAGGAACAAACACTTTAGACTGATTGAGTAAGCTCCTTTTTGTTATACACCCGAGTGTTAAGTGGCACTGGATCCCTTGGAGCTGCATTTAGAGGGCTGTGAGTTGTATCACATGGGTGCTGAGGACGGGACTCAGGTTCCCTGCAAGAACAGTGCGCATTCCTAACTGATGAGACATCTCTCCTGTACCCCACACCTTTTAAAGGTTTATGTATATTGTTTTCGTGTGTGTGTGTGTGTGTGTGTGTGTGTGTGTAGGCCAGCAGTCAATGTTGGCTGTTGTCTTGGTAAGGTTCTTATTGCTGTGATGAAAATACCATGACCAAAAAGCAAGTTGGGGAGGAAAGGGTTTATTTGGATCATAGGCCACCGTCAGAAGAAGGCAGGGCATGAATCAAGTAGGGCTGGAACCTGGAGGCAGGAGCTGATGCAGAGGCCATGGATGGGTGCTGCTTACTGGCTTGTCACATGGCTTACTCAGCATGTTGTCACCCTTCACTGTTTTAAAGACTTTTAAAATTACGTATATGTGTATATATGTATGTGTGTGTGGGGTATGTGTGTATGAATGCTGTGCCCATAGGTTTAGGACCCTTGGGCCTTGTGGAGCTGGAGTTGTGGGTGTTTGTGAGCCACCTTATGTGGTTGCTGGGAACCAAACTCAGGTCCTGCTCAAGAGCAGTGTGTGCTCCTACTCCAAAGCCATCTCTCCAGCTAGGCCTCCTGGTGCTAACATGGCTGCTGGGTCTGTGAGCTAGAGTCCTCATGCTTCTACAGGAAGCACTTAATGCGGCTCCACTGTTTCCCTAGCTGCCATGCGTTATTTTCTGAATGGAGAAAAGTGACCTAGAAGACTAAGATTTTCCAAAATTTTAGGAAAAAGACTTTGTGGCATTGCTATGTTACTTAATACTTACAAGCTGCTGTTTTTTTTCCATAAGATATGGACTATGAAGACTTGAAAATAAGCTCAACTTGTGCTAAAGGCATCACTCAGTGTGCGCTAGGGTCTAGCTTTGGTTTATGGCATTGCATCAAAAAGAAAAAAAATAAAGAAGTCTTGCTCACATTTTTGAGGGTCTGCCTCACTTCCTTTCTATAAGCATTCTGGAACTTTCAATTTGGACTTCTTAGGTCCCAAAGAAACCCCAGCTTTTTTAGGGTTCCAGGGTTGCCGGAGGCTCTGAAACTCCCCTTTCAGGTTTTCAGAAGGGTAATTTTTTTGTTGTTTTAGTCATTTTCCACTTGAAGAGGGAAATACTGTCTCCTAACTGAAAATAGATCAAGCCGTGAGGTTGAGGATGTAGTTCAGTTGTGCCTGAGATTGGTTCCCAGCACCAATAAGTTGGGTATGGTGGTGCAGGCCTAGAATCCTGGTACTTACTTGGAAGGTGAAGGCAGGAGACCTAGAAGTTTAAGGCATCTTTACTTAATAGTGAGTTTGAGGCCAGTCTGGGGTCTCTGAGACTCTATCTCAAAGAACAAATAAACAAAAAAACAGGCCAGGCCTGGTGGCACACACCTTTCACCCCAACACTCAGGAGGCGGAGTCAGTCTGATCTCTATGGGTTCCAGGACAGCCAAAACTATACAGCGGGGCCCAGTCTCAACAACAACAAAAACCTCGAAACAAAAGAAAAAAATAGGCCAGGTATTGGTGGTTCACACCTTTAATCTTAGTGCTCTGGGGGACAGAGGCAGGTGAATGGATGTCTGTGAGTTCAAGGCCAGCCTGGTCTACATAGTTAGTTCCAGGACAACCAGGGATACATAAACCCTGTCTCAAAAAAACAAAAAAAAAAACCCAAACATACAAACAAAACTAGATTGTATTTCAGTGTACTCAGGGATACACAAACCCTGTCTCAAAAACCAAAAAACATATACAAACAAAACTAGATTGTGTGTTCAGTGTGTTCACTGAGAAATTGATATGAGCTGCTGAGAAACAGCAGTTGTCTGGACCTGGATGCTGACTGGCTCCTGTGTGTGTGGTAGTGGTGGGTAGTTATAAGCTTGTTCAGAATCCCTGATTGATAACCATCATTTGCCAGTCATGTTTCTCAGCTGAGTGACTTGTTACTTCCAATCAGTGGTTCATATCAGGGGGCTCTGGGAAAATGAGCTTAACCATTACTTCCTTGAGTTTGATTGCATATGAAACAAACCAGTGTTGAGTGGAGCAGCCTTGCTTCATACACAGCCATCTGTCTCCTAAGGAGGGCAGACAAAGCTGTCTCTCAGTTGCTTTGAGCTAGCCCATGCTGTTATGTACCTGCTAGTTCTGAAGGTAACAAGTATTAAGTGTTGGCACATCTCAAAGTCAATGAGTCTAAGAAGGTTTTCCCTATTACTACATTTACTACCTTGTTTGCTGAGTAAAATGGTTGTTGGGCCTGTTCCCTGTGGTCTAAACCCTGTGTCTTGGCTTCCAGGGGCCTTCAAGTCTTCAGCCATCTGCCTTGGGTCTATGAGCTACCGAATAGCTGGACTACCACTTGATGGTTCCTGATATTGCTTGCTCTTCATTTTGCTTTTGACATGACCTTCCCTTTGAGGAGATCGTTGAGACCATGTAGGATCAGAGGGACAAGGCACAACTCAGGGTTAGAGAAGTAAATTTTAAGTGTGTACTCTCTAGTACCAAAGACTTTCCCCAGCTATTCCTTATTATACACTTAACAAAGTCTTGAGGTTTTCCCCCTTAAGTGACTTCCAGGTTCTATCTAGGGTTCAATCTGTTTTCTTAGATTTCAAGCTTGAAACATTTTCTAAAGGGAGCTGGTGGCATGGCTCAGTGGCTACAGGCACGTGCTGCTAAGATTGATGGTCTGAGTCTGGTCCCCAGCTCACACATGGTTCAAGGAGAGAGCTAACCTGACCTCCACATGAACACTGTAGCATATGCCTGTACCCAGAACATATCACACTGGCATATAGACATGTAACACAACAGTAAATAGAATACAGAGTAGAGTATAGAATGTGTGTGCAGGGATGGTCTTACGTTTGTTTCCTGCCCTGTGCTACATGCCTCATGATACTTTTCCATCAGTGGCAGCTCTCTGAGGATGTGGACCGCATCCACCTGATTTGCCTTTGTCTCTCTGACATCAAGCACAGCTTGTTGCCACAGCAGCCGTCCTGAGGGAATGCAGCAGTGCCTTTGTGAGGCAGGACTGTGATGGTCTCTCACATTTGTTCATCATTGTAGAGACTGCTCAGGGCTCCCAGTGCCTCCCAGCCCCTCAGTCCTCGATCTGATCCTCTACTTCTGTCTTGCTGGTTCCAAATGCCCAGTGGTTAATTGGTTCTGGTGTCAGAATGCTGGATCCACCAGCCTTGCTACCAGATCTGCATTTGTTAATCTGATGGGACTTTTGGCATGTCCTGCCTGCTTCACCTTCCTTAGAAGGAAAATGAACGCCCATGGCCACCTGGTTAAAGTGTCTGGAGTAATGGCTACTGTGGTGATGGGTGAAGTCTTCTGTTTGATCTGTATCTATGAGCTTTATGATACAGATCTGTAAAACTGTTTTCCCTTTTTGACATTTTTAGTGTTTGATCTGTGATGATAAATTCATCTTGAATTGTGTGTTGGTTTAAACATGGCTCCATAGTGGGTTTGGTTATATAATAATTTTAGCATTATTGCTTTCATTGTTGGTCTTGCTTATTTGAAAGAAAAAGACAAAGTTTTTGCCGAGAACCAGTGGCCAGGCATATGAGGCCCTCCTCCCAGCCTTGGCTTTCCATGAGGTGGGGTGTAGATGCTAGCTAAACTCTGGCTTTGACATCCAGAAATATGTAGCTCTGCCATTGAGTTGTTTGACCCTGGGACTATTGCTTAAATCTATGAAGCTTTATGTTCATTTATTTAATGCTTAATGAAGTTATAATAAGAGTTAAGTAATGTATGTATAATTTTACCCCAGCACATGGCATATAATAATGAGTAGCATTTATTATTACCGTTACTATTTTAGCCAAGATTGAGATTAGAGCTGAGGTGGTCATCAGCCCTGAGGTCACCTCCCATGGATTGCTGGGATGATTTCTACCACGGGTTGGAACAAAGAATGGCAGAGCTTCTGTGTCTCATGTTTTTCTCTTACAGGTTTTAATTTCTCATCCTCTGGACGGGAGGACGTAGATGTGAGAACATTAGGAAATGGTAAGATGGCGTCAGCACCACCTGATTAGAACCCATCTACTTACAGCAGCCACTCAAAACCAAGGGAGGACCAGCATCCTCCAGATGGGAGCCTTGTGAATTATGCAGCTACCTTTGCAGATGGTGATCTTTGAACAGAGTCATTTCCTTGAAGGCTTCCTTCCTTTCTGGAAGCCTGTAAGTTGTAATGACCATATATGTGTCTTAAGAAGGAAGTCTTTTCCCCTCAAAGTTTATTAGTTATTCCATTTAAGAACTTCTCGGCCGGGCGGTGGTGGCGCACACCTTTAATCCCAGCACTTGGGAGGCAGAGGCAGGCGGATTTCTGAGTTCGAGCCCAGCCTGGTCTACAGAGTGAGTTCCAGGACAGCCAGGACTACACAGAGAAACCCTGTCTCAAAAAAACAAAACAAAACAAAACAAAAAAAGAACTTCTCAGGCACACACTTTTAATCCTAGCACTTGGGAGGTAGAGGCAGGTAGATCTAGTTTGAGGATAGTCAGGGCTACCTAGAAAAAACCTGTCTTGAATTAGAAAGAGGCGGGGGAGACTCAAAGATGGGCATGATGGTGTACTTGTGAGGTAGAGACAGGTAAGTCTCTTGAGTTCTAGGTCAGTCTGGCCTACATAGTGAGTTCCAGGACAACCAAAGCTATATCGATAGAGCATGTCTCAGAAAACAAACAAAGAATATCTCAAAATGACCAGTTTTCAAAATGTCTATCTTTATTTAAGAATGACTATTGTAGCTTTCGTTTCTTTCCTGTTTTATCTTGTTGAGTTATAAGAAAGACAACGAGGCGTCCTTCTGAGCTGTTAGGTGTTGCAGTTCTCCTCATAGGATCACAGTTGTTACTAGAAGAATGGCTGGGAGAGTGAATCTCACTTGGTGTGTCTGGGCAGAGCTCTGTGACTAGATTAGTTCCATCAGTGTGTCCAACTTAATTAGTGGCTATTGAAGGTTTGGTCTGTAATTAGCATAAGCCTATGTGAGGACCTCTGAGGAAGGCAGTCATTTTCACATACTGCCTGGATGGGGTTTAGCAGCTTCTTGCTCCAGCCCCCCAGAAGCCTCTTTACTCTTTTACATGTACTTCAGGTCCCCAGATGTAGGGGACGGACTACGATGCGCTAACCTCGCAGTCCTCTAGAGCTCAGCTCATTTCTTACCTCCTGCATTTGCCCCAATGGTAATCCTGTCAACATATTTCTGTTCCCTGCCGGGGCATGCCAGGAAGGCCCTTTGCAGTTGAGCTGCTGAATCCTCATCGAGTGCATTTCACTTCACAAGAAATTAAGGAGCTGCAGCAGGTAAGGGTTGCGCGGCTCCACCAGGCCTGTGTCTGTACAGTTCTCTGACTGAGTGGGACTGAGTTGGTAATTGTTTTTTCTTTCTTCACTACTGCAGAAAATTAATAAATCATCTGACAAAATCCAAGTCCGTGATTTGCAGCTTGTCACCAGGTAAGGGTGGACATGCTAGCGAGAGTTCAAAAGGGACTCTTTCAAAAGTTTCCAAGTATTATATGTTTGTAAGGGAATTCCATACAGAGTATATTAAGGAAAACAAAAATCTAACAACCCAATTAAATGGGAAAATGATTAAATAGACCTTTCTCAAAGGAGGATATATGCATAGTCTGTGAACATGAAGCAATGCCTAGCATCCTGCACTAGGGCATGCAAGTCAGAGCCACACCTAGGAAGATAGCTGTCACAAAAAAAAAAAAAAAAAAAAAAAAAAAAAAGAAAATATTAAGTGCTGGCAAGGACATAGAGAACTTCCTTGTGCGTTGCTAATGGGATTGAAAGTATGGCCACTTTGACAGTCTCTCATAAGCTCAAATGTACAATGACCATATGACCTAGCTGTTCTACTTCTAGATATCACATCAACAATAGAAATGAAAGTATATATCAAAGACCACACGCAGATGGTTATTGTAGTGTTTTTACAAATCAGAGAGGTAGCCAGTGGTAATACAGACCTGTAATTCTACTAACTGCTAGGTCAAGGCAGGAAGGTTAGAATTCAGGGCTATCCTTAGCCAAATAGTGAGTTTGAGGCCAGCATGGGTTATATAATACTCTTATGTTAAAAAAAAAAAAAAAAGGTAGTAGTAGATACTATTTGTCTATCTATAGAAAAACACAATGTGAAATTGTCCCTTCTGATCCTTGAAAGTCCCAAGACTTGCTTTGGACACCTGAGACTGTAGCTAGTATTGAGTCTATAAATAGTATGTTTTTCCTGTACACAATTGATGAAAAGGGCTGACTAAAAGCGTCACAGGCAGAGAGCGCACTTGCTACCCTTACAGAGGACCTGGGTTCAGTTCCCAGCACATACATGGTGACTCACAACTACCTGTTACTCCAGCTCCAGGGGATCTGACTCCCTTTTCTGGCCTCACAGGAAAGCAGGCGTTCATGTGGCATACATAAATGCAATCACTCACACACACACACACGTAAAATAAAATTAAATTGTTTAAAAAGTAAAGCATATAAGAGTAATAGCTAATAATAAAACAGGACAATTATAGCAGTATACTATAAAAAAAAGTTAAGCATCAACTGCCTCATTTTAAGTTTTTGAATGTAATACTTTTGGTCTGAGGTTGACAGCAGGCAAAGAGAACCCATGGAGAAGGGGAACCTATATACCTACCCGGTGCAGTATGATATGGAGATACGGAATGCTGGTTCATACTGCCCCATGGATGCACATTGTCCTCGACAGCATTATGAAGTGGCAGAATCCAGTCACCAGATGGCACACACACTGTGATTGTGCCTGACAAGAAATGTTTAGGGAAATGGTAAAGATAGAAAGTCAGGTAGTGATCGATGGTCTTGGTCTTGGGAAAAGGAATGGGAAGAAGGTGCTCATGGGTATGGAGGGCCTTTCTGGGGGCAGTAGAAGTAGGTTAAATTGTGCTAGATGCGCAGCTCCGTAAGCAGTAAAATTCATAGGAAGCTCCTTTAAATGGAGAAAATGCATGCACGTTATCCCTCAGCCAAGCTGTTGTAAGGAAACAGACAAGGTCTGGGACAAGGTCTGTCTTTGTTTAGAGAAGCAATCGGGCATATGAAGGAAGGTGAGGAAGGAAAGACCAAGACCTACAGTGCCTTGATCTGGACGAACAGAGCCATCCAGAAGAAGGACATTGGGTTCCTGGACAACCTAAAGGTACAGTGTGCAGCTCTTTGCTTGGTTTTCTCTTCTTCTGCATATGAAAAAGCTCATTGTCTCCTGGTTTATTCCCAGCACACCATAGAGTCTCGGCTTTGGGGTCGGTGTGACCTGCGTTCACATCCTGGCTTTCCCACTCACTGGTCTAGTGACTGGATGGTGGTCTATCTCTTTGGAGTCAGTGTTATTGACTCTGAAAACAGATTCCTGGGCACATTCTTACTTGTGCAACTTTGGACAAATTCCTTAACCTCTTTTTGCTTTCACCTGTAAAATTAGTTTAGAAAAATTAAATTAATTTGATTATACAAAGCATTTTAGATGGTAACAACTACATAGAAAATACTTAGTAATGCTATTTTATTTGGCTATCTATAAAAGTTAAACATAAAACAAAATGTGTTACTAGATATTGATCCTAAAATCACATATATGAATGAGCACATGCAGGAACTGTGTGAAGCATGTGCATTCTGGAAGCACGGCGCTGTGTAGGACCAGCATAACCTGAGACTGGATCTCAGCTCCTGTGTTAAAGCTAGCCATAGCCATGTATGCTTGTAACCCCAGAGCAGTGGGAGGCAGAGATAGGAGGATTACTGACACTTGCTGACTGCCAGCCTAATTCCAGGTTCAGTGAGAGACCCCATCTGAGAGGAGTGAGGTGGAAAGTGACAGAGCGGGACCCCCATGGTCCTTCTATCGTGTGGGGTGGGGGAGGAAAAGGAAGAGTGAGGAAGGAAAAATGAGAATTTCAACTCAAGGTCTAAGTGAGCATAAATGAGCACAGTTATCTGATATTATTTAAATGGGCAGTATTTTGTAGCAATCTAGATGACCTACTAAATGACATTTGTTTCATATTAAATACATACACAGAGAGAGAGAGAGAGAGAGAGAGAGAGAGTTTTACTACCCAGATCTTTAAAATAGCTGGGTACGGTGGCCCAGAAGATCAAGGCAAGAGATCACAAGTGTGAGCCAGCCTGGGCTATCCAGCTAGACCCTACCTAAAAGAACTAAATTATTTAAAGTGATAGTTATTAACGTAGGAAAAGTGTTGCCCTAAATGCTAGGGGAAAGCTGTAAGAATACCTAGAGGGTGGTGCCTTGTGATTCCACCACACCCAAATATGCCGTGTGCACACACACACAGATGGCTATGGAGAAAACAATATGGCAAAAGTTTCTAAAATAGGATTTATTGTTAGTCATGAAGAGTAAAGTACCCAATAGTTTGTTTGTTTGTTTGTTTGTTTGTTTTAAAAAAAGGATAAAGGATCTGAACAGATGGTTGAAAAAGGAGCAACTTGAGATGACCAAGAGTCATTTGGAATGCTGCTCTACCGCGGGGACAAAGCAATGTATAACTTCACATTGTTCCCTAAGCCAGTAAAGCAGACAGTGAGTCTAGTGGGGAGGGAGGTTAACTGTGGGTTAAAGCAGAGATGAAAGGTGTCTCAGACTCGGAAGGCAACATGGCACTGACTGTAGGAAGGAAAAGTCGCACTGTATGCCTAGCACACCCTCTGTCAACAACCTTACTGCAGGAGCATGACTCAGTGTACAGATGGGCATGACAGGTAGCTCCCTGACTTAGCAGTATCAAACTGGAAAGAAAATGACATTGGCTGGATGAAGTGGCACAGCACATTAAGGGTGTGAGTTCAGGACCAACCTGGGCAAACAAGCCAAAGCCTCCGAATGAGCTAGTAGTTAGATAACAAACATCTTGTAGCTATTAGAAACAAGACCAAAAGCAGGGTATGCTTTCACTAAACCTGGGTTAGAGTTCATCTGGACATAAACTGCCATGACTCATAGTCTGACTCATGAGGCAAAAGCAAAGCAGCAGCCATAAGGACCGCAGGGAAAGCCCACATCACTTGTCTGCC